ATGAAGAGGGCGTTTAAGCCCCACCCTTTAACATATAGACCCCTTTCGGCGAGAAGTAGCAGCTTGTGAATATCATTAATTTTGCAATGAATATCATTATATCTCAGTTACGGTATACGCCCACATACAATAATTGGCTGCCATGTTTTACGTCAAGCAGCAAGTGCTTTCTGTGTCCTGGAGATCTTGGTCACTACATTTTGAAGCTAAAAACTATTCTAGAGTCAAGAAAGATGCCAAGAGAGCCAACCTAGGAAGTATAGTGCAATACTCTTATTGTATGAGCCTGCTTTCCGCTTTGGGCTGTGACAGAGAGTCAAGAACTGATTGTTCTGGCTCTCCCAGACTTCTTAAGTCTTCAAAATATCTTGCTATAGTAAAGAACAATTGATATGAAGCCTCTTATAGTCCTGAGTTCAGCACAACAAAAGTTTTATTGGCAAAACAGCTCTACTTTGCACATCAGCCATTGGAACTCTGCATAACTTTGACGTAAAACATGGCGGACAAAAATCCGTTCAATATTATTTCTTTGTATATACGGTATCAAAAACTAATTCTCGCCTAAAGGGGTCTATAGAATGCTTTACTCAACATAAACCAACACTTACTCTATAATACTTACCTTTACTAGAAGAGATTAAGTAAAATGAAGTACATAAATCATAAACACAGAAGTCAGTGTAGTCATCATCAGTAGTAACTAAAGAATAAAATTATTAACGTTTATTTAGATTAATTTCTCTCACTTGAAGCGAGTGGTGTCAGTAGATAGTCGTGTCCTTAGGCACGCACATCATCTTGATCTCATCATAAATCAGTCAGTAAGTACCGTCAGTAATTGTAAAAGGCTCTTCCAGTTTCAGCCATTATAATAATTATTACTGAGCATGCGCAGTTGGCTGCATCAAAATGGCGTCCAACCACTTGATGAATCAACTGTGTACTTGAAAATAACGACGAGAAATCATTTTGTAGAATCAAAATGCCAAACCACACTGCACTAGCGTCCCTTAAGCGCAACAGAATAGTGCAAAAATTATTTTTCTAGGATAAAAACTGTAGGACTAGTTCTTCCTTAACTGTGGAAGAAGAAGAAGAAGAAGAAGAAGAAGAAGGAGAAACCTGAACATTTGGTGCATGCAGGCATGCATGCATTCATCGCCGTAAAACTATCTTGTGGAAGTTTTTAGCTACTTTTTATAACACTAACCTGTTTCAATAAAATTATAAAGGAAATCTTGACTGTCAGATAAGCTATAAAGAATTCCTGAAGATTTACACAGGCTCAATGCTTCTGGGATGGCAGCCATTTTGTGGGCGCGCTCGTCCAACTCAACCCTACATACCAAGCGCTAGCGCTTGGTAATAGACCTACCACTGCATAGAGGCATATAATAAGAACCAGAGATTGATTAATGTTTTTAATACACTTTTCATGTTATTGAGTACATATTTAGTGTCCAGTCTAACACTGTTTTTGTCTTTGTTGAACTTTTTCTTTTGTTTCCTAAGAAATTCTGTTTTGGTATTCCTGTATTACTCCAGACTGCTTTATTGTCTGGCTATTGTGAGAGTGTATGAAGTTTATGTTTACTATAGCTTAGGTTGTGTTGATTGTGGTGTTGTTGTGCTTGTCCACAATGTCAACACTGCTATAGGAACTCAGCCAATGCATAAGATGTGCTATAATGTTAAGTGTATGTCAGATAAGATCATTTTTATGAAAATTCTACAAGGTGCCTCAGTTTTAATGTCTTAAATATTTTCTGTATTTATGCTCATGTACCTTTTCTTATAATATTTATGTCAGCTATGCTATTCTGCAAAAATGTTGACAGACTAAACTACAGTTATTTTTACTTATTGAATGTTGTTGTTCTTCATAATGCGAAGTCATATACTGAAATTTCCGCATCAAGTTTGGCTTGAAGTGTGTAAGTCTAAGATATGTTGCTCTGGTTGTTTCTCTTATCATTGGTACTTCGTGTATCAGGTCAACCGTTTTTTGGTTCACTACCTCCTCGTCCAACTACTGGTCAGTGTATTAATCTTTTTGTAATAAATTTATCTATTGTATCAATAGGTGTTAGATTGTTTCTTGGTGAGGAGAATGTGACTATTGCTAATTTCTCAATGATAGCTGCTGGTCTGTTTCATGATACTGATATAGATGAGCCTGGTAATGCTGTTAGTGTTGGTGGTAGTCCTGATGGTCAGAATGATGGTTTGTGGTGTCAGAGTTCTCTTTATCAGAATATGATAGGAACATGGTATTATCCTGATGGAACAACTGTACCATTGGGTTCTGGTAGTCCTCTGTTTGCTAACAACACTGCTACTGGTCAAATTGGTTTGTTAAGAAATGGAGGGATAGGAGGTATTCAAGGACTATACAGTTGTGTTATACCAAATGAAGAAGGAATCAATCAGACACTGTATGTTGCTGCTTATGGTAATACTGATTTTTATGATACTGGTAAGCAAATAAAAATCAAGGGGATCTATTCATTCAATTTTCTCATTGATAATACAGAACTCCCAATGATTGATGGTCATAATCCTTCCTTCCAGCTCCT